AAAGAGGGGCAAAAGATACCAGAGGGACATTCAAAGGTCACCATTTAGAAAGTCAAATTAAACTTTGACCTTGACTTCAATTTCAAGGTCATAAAGCAAGGACCTCAAATCAAAAGACCTAGGTCTTTATTATATGTGGTTAATGAGTTTTATCACCATACACATAATTCTAAATTTAAGAGGGGAGAAAACTCTCATTAAAAGTCAACTTACCCTTTAAACCAAAATGTCTGTGTTTTATCATGTTGCAACTAATAATCCTGATAATAATAATAATGCATGTAATAATAATAATAATGATGTAAAGGTAAAGTCTGCAAAAAGCACTGTAAATCAATAAAAGAAGCTTCATTAAGTTACTTTAGTTAGATATATTTTTCCATGACTAACAAATTCTATAAAATCTTTAAAAACTTCTTACCTTTACCTTTCGTTTTCCCTGACTTCAGAGGTTTCTTTTTGCCTACAATTTGAAAAGTAATAGTAAACAAGCATTCTGAGAGTATTGCATGGCAATACATAGTCCCCTACCGGGTAAAAATTCATTATACTGGAACAAAATGCTAACTTGTTATATAACTTGCCATGGTGTAAACAAAAAGTAAATATCATGTCAATATCTTCAAGCATGACTAAAAAACAGTGTGGAAATCTGATTATATGAGTGAATTTTTCAAGTCCAAGGACCATAACTCTGCACAAAATTATTAGACCGAAACAAAAATTTGAACTAGATCTGTAACTTGTCATGATAAAACTATATACCAATTATCAATCAATATCGTATAAGCATGATGAAAAAAACATTAGATATGATTAATAGTTCTCTAAAATTAGATATGATGTAATACAGTGTATATCTATTTTCAAATTATAATCAAATATAATTAATGGTTCCAAATACTTTTTCTTTCATTTGTCACAAACTAATATAGATTTGTAACTTATCTATAAAATGTCAACAACTTTTATCTACACAATGTAATGTATTGAAATATATACATAATAAAAATAGATTATTATCAAATTAAAGGATTTCTCTTCATAATTTTTTTTTATATATATAGCATTCAGTAAATAAGTTTATACTAAATAACTAACAAACCTGCCAAAAAATTCTTCAAATAATTGAACAAAGAATGTCTTTAAAAAAATTAGTTATATCCCTTTGTACAGAAATATGGTTTAACATAGTACTCTAACATTAGATATGGTCCTTAGATATGGTCCAGAGTTATGGTCCATAACTCTAGATTAAATCATCAGACCGGAACAAAATTTGAACTTGATCTATAACTTGTCATGATAAAACTGTATATCAAATATCAAATCAATATCTTCAAGAACGAAGAAAAAAAGTGTGGAAAGCTAATTTGCCGGACTGACAGACAGACAGACAGACAGACAGACAGACAGACGGATGGAGTGCAAACCTAAAGTCCCCTTCGACTTCGTCGGTAGGGGACTAATTAAAAGCACGAAATAGAAGTTTTCGATAGACCCTACATAAAAGTCTTTTAGCAATGATGTCTTGTGTTAATTACTTCCATCAATATTCAGCAATACTGCATTAATTCTTACAACTAAGAATCTGACAGAAATCACTTGCTAATAGTTGTTTTTTTCTGATGTACCCGTCCTTATCTAGTGGCTCTAAGGAGCCTGTATCACTCATCTATATATGTTCCCATTGTCAACAATGACCAATCCTATTTAATCTTCTTAAGTTTGGAAGTAATAGGCTGATGTCATACTGAATTTTCAGAACTTTTTTTATTGCATTTAAAAATCATTAATAATAAAATCAAGATATGATTATTAAGTTACTAAAGTTTCCCTATTTTAAGAAAAAGAGAATAATTTGAAATGTGTTTAAATATTTCATTATTTAAAATGTTATAAAGACTGTTAACAACAACACTTTAGGGATTGCTGCAATATTTCAATGAGATCAACATGTTTCTGAGCCTGCACCGTCATCAGGATAAAAACAATACAAAGGGAATGTGGTGAAGTGTTTGTCCACCGCTGGGTATGGAAAATGTTTATGTCACACTATAATAACTTATGGTGACATAAAAAGTCTAAATGAAATATATAACCACTAGTACCCGACACCTTTCCTGAATTTACTTTAAATAAATAGATGTGCAACTCAAAATCATTGTTTTTTTTAGCAAATATATATCTGACTTTGGCAGAATAACATCAACAAATATTTTAATTTCTATGACTTACATATTTCATTTAACATTCTTGTTTAAGTTTACTTCCATACCTACTTTCACTTACTATTTACATTCACCATGGTAACATTGTGACTTGATTTATCACTTCCCGATTACGTACTTCGGTGCGATTTTCTGAATTGTTTTTATCCTGTTGACGGTGCAATATGCACCTAAACATGTTGATCTCATTAAATTCTGCAGCAATCCCTAGAGTGTTGCTGTAATAACAGCCTTCACATTTTATGTCTTTATCAAAACAATCCTGCATACCCTGGTATCCACTTTAGGAATCCTATTGTATTGAAGATTTACCAAGCATTACTTCACTGTTGTTTTTCATTTCAAATTTATCTTATTTAATTATTTTTTGTGACAATCTGAATAAAGAGTTTGTTATTTTGTTTGATGTTTTTTTCATGAAATTATATATCAAATGACAAAAAGCTTAAAGATTTGTTTCATACTGGCAATTACAATTCTAAAATACCAAAGTTACCCCTTTATATCACCACTAAAAGCAAAATCCCATATGTTGTCATTTCATGTAAACATTTTGGACAAGGACAATGTGTTTAAGTTCAAAAATAACACTCAGATCTTCCCTTATTATTGCTGTATATAATGTCAGTTGTACCAATAACCAGTCTGCTATTTCTTTGGTGCCCTGATCGAATGCTGAGGAGTTACAGTGCAGATACACTTAACAGAGTTCAGTAAAGGGACCAAGAAATACCAAGAATAAAGTTAACAGACACAGGTTTGGGAGAAAGAATCACAGTTTAATATTTTCTTTGCATATCAATAAAGCAATACACATTGCTGATTGGTTAAAAACCTAGACATGCGAGGGTCCCCAAGTAACTACTGACCAGCATTTCAAAACATATTATGTATTAATACTCTATTTAAATAAAATAGTTCAATTAATTCATAACACTGTCCCACCCAGATCCTCCCTAATTATTGTTGTACATAATGTCAGTTGTACCAATAACCAGTCTGCTATTTCTTTGGTGCCCTGACCGAATGCTGAGGAGTTACAGTGCAGATAAAGGCACCTGATTTACACTTAACAGAGATCGGTAAATGGACCAAGAAATGCCAACTGGTGATATTATAAAGGAATAAAGTTAACAGACACAGGTTTGGGAGAAAGAATCACAGTTTAATATTTTCTTTGCATATCAATAAAGCAATAAACATATTTACAAAGAAAGCAAAATCAAGTTGAAAAACTGCGGTACTCCAAAATAATCCCAAACCTGTGTTAAAGTAGGAAATTAAGTTCATGAAATTGGAAGCCTGCCAAAAACAAATGTACTCAGCTGAAGTCAAAAACATGCATGACATGCTGATTATAGAAAGACATGCATCATACTCTTTGATTAAAATTTGTTTGATGGTATTAAACATTAGTTCTGTACATGTGACAAAGAAAAGTTTTGCAAGAATTCATTTTCTTGAATTCAGCACAAGTTAATTTAGAAAATGAACACTGAATCAAAGTGTACGTGTGAGCCTGAATAAAAGAAAACGAAGGAAGTGACAGGACATATGAGAAACAAGGTGATGCACAAACAAAGAAGTTGGTAAGCATCCTTTCAGAAAAAATTGACATAGATTTAAATCATGCAACCGTGAAACAGCATCAGCCATATCATTCTGCTTCCCTGGCAGATGAATTGCGACAAGTTGAAAATTGTTAGTAGCAGACAGCCAAAACAATTCGCGCAAAAAAAACATTAAAAGTTTGTTCTTAGAGGTACACTTATTGATACAACCAACAGTTGATGAATTATCACAATAAATATATACACGCTTATTTTGCCAACATTTAGCCCAAAAGAGGGACGAGAGATACCAGAGGGACAGTCAAACGCTTGGCCGCCAAAGCCACTGCAAATGCTTCTTGCTCATTAATATGCAATGTTTGCACAAATGGGAAATCCTCTTTCCAATTTACATAAAACCAATCGGTACCAAAAACTCTACCTGCACCTGTTTTGCAAGCATCAGTATAAACTGAGGTGACAGGATCAGTGTTAAGTAAGAAGGACTTCCCATTAAAAGTGGACATGAAATTGTACCACCACTGGATGTCATGCAAAATATACCCGCATAACCGCATTTTGTGCCAATCATGCTTAAGCTTCGTAATGCCATCAATGATTCTCCGAAGAAAAACTCTTCCGCCGCGAACCACTGAAGAAGCCCAGTTTAGTTTTCCCGCCAGGGACTGCAGTTGTTTCTTAGAAACATGCTTGCGCTGCTGAAAATCTGCCAAATCTTGCCTTAACTGCTCTAGTTTTGTACTAGGTAATCTTAATTCCAATGTTGTGGAGTCTATCTCCACACCTAATAATACTAATTTCTGGCATGAGTCCAAGACCTTGGACCAACTAATTGCAAAGCCTTACTTGCGTAGCAAGTAAATTAAAACCCTAAGGCCATGTGTGCAGCGCTGCTTTGTGCTTTCGCAAATGAAATAAAATGCTCCGCTGGGGCGCAGCTTGATACGACCGCAGAGGTCGAACCCTGAACAGTTGGGGCAAGTATGGACACAACATTCAAGCTTGATACAGCACTGAATTTGGATTGTAATTAAATATTTGACACAGCATAGGTTTCTGACACAGAATGAAAGTGGTCTAAGAACTTAAAATTTTTTAATTTACCTATTAAAACCATATCATTATTATTTGCTTTTATATATAAATCAGAAATAACCAATTTAAAATGGAAAATTTTAAAGAAAAAAAAAGAAAAAAAAAATCCCCCCCCCAAATTATTTGAACCCCCTTATGATTCATCATCCCCAAACTCAATCCCAGCCTTCCCCTTGTGGTATGGTACCTTGCAGAGAGATCCATACACTTGAACACAAGTTATTGTCTGCAAACTAGAAAAGTGCTTGTTTTTGGCCCCTTTTTGGCCCCAAATTCATAAACGTTAGGGCAATTACCCCCAAACTCAAACCCAGCTTTCCCTTTGTGATATGGAACCTTGCAGTACAACTTCATAAAGATCCATACACTTACACACAAGTTATTGTCCTGAAACTAGAAAAATGCTTGTTTTTTTGCCCTTTTATGGCCCCTAATTCCTAAAATTTTGAGAGAATTACCCCCAAAATCATTCCAAGCCTTCCCTTTGTGGTATGGTACCTTGCAGTACAATTTGAGAGAGATCCATACACTTGAACACAAGTTATTGTCTGGAAACTAGAAAAATGCTTATTTTTGGCCCCTTATTCCTAAACTTTTTGGGCAATTACCCCCAAACTCAATTCCAGCTTTTCCTTTGTGATATGGAACCTTGTACAGTCAAACCTGAGTAAACCGGACCCTGAATAAACCGGAATCCTGTCCATTCCGGCCGAAAATTGAAGTCCCATTTTTTTCCCTTCCAAGTCTTTGTAAAAATACCCTTTGTAAACCGGACCCTATGTATTCCGAATTCCGTTCTAATTATGCAGTCCCAATATTCTTAATTACATCAATCATTACCTGTCAAAACCGGTTTGTTTAATTAATTTAAAATGATAACTGTATTGATCGATATGCAATCAAAACATAATTGTTTATACAAGATGTTTTTTTAGGATAATCAATGAGCAAGGTGTTAAACCGTGAACTTACAGTAGTGAGCTGTAATATTAAAACACTATAAAAGTTTTAATTGAAAATAAAATGCTCCGCAGGGCGCAGCTTGATACGACCGCAGAGGTCGAACCCTGAACAGTTGGGGCAAGTATGGATACAACATTCAAGCTTGATACAGCTTTGCATTTGGATTGTGATTAAATATTTGACACAGCATAGGTTTCTAACACAGAATGAATGTGGTCTAAGAACTTAAAAATTTTAAATTGGACATTCACCTATTATGGTCCAATATCCAAAATCTAAATACATGGTTAGATTGAGCATATCAAAGAACCCCATATATTCAATTTTTGTTGAAATCAAACAAAGTTTAATTTTGGACCCCGATTTGGACCAACTTGAAAACTGGGCCCATAATCAAAAATCTAAATACATGTTTAGATTCAGCATATCAAAGAACCCTAAGAATTCAATTTTTGTTAAAATCAAACTAAGTTTAGTTTTGGACCCTTTGGACATTAATGTAGACCAATTTGAAAACGGAACCAAAAATTAAGAATCTAAATACACGGTTAGCTTAGCATATCAAAGAACCCCAATAATTAAATTTTGGATGAAATCAAACAAAGTTTAATTTTGGACCCTTTGGACCTCAATGTGGACCAATTTAAAAACGGGGCCCAAAATCCAAAAACTAAATACACGGTTAGATTCAGCATATTAAAGAGCCCCAAAAATTCAAGAATAAAACCCCATTGAAATTGGTGAAGAAATAAGCAATTTATACGAAGTATCTTCTTTTGCACAATACTGTGCAATTAAATATTTCTTGCTATTGTGCAATACTGTACAATTGACAATTTCTTGCTATTGCGCAATATTGTGCTATTTGATATTTCTTGCTATTGCGCAATACTGTGCAATTAAAGATTTCTTGCTATTGCGCAATACTGTGCAATTGAAGATTTCTTGCTATTGTGCAATACTGTGCAATTGAAAATTTCTTGCTATTGCACAATACTTATTATATAATAATTTACACATCCTGTTTGGTGTGTATCTCCTACCATATCGTTATTATTTGCTTTTAAATATAAATCAGAAATAACCAACTTAAAATGGAAAATTTTAAAAGAAAAAAAAAAAGGAAGAAAAAAAAAAAAGGATAAAAAAAAATCCCCCCCCCCCCCCCAATTTTTTGAACCCCCTTATGATTCATCACCCCCAAACTTAATCCCAGCCTTTCCTTTGTGGTATGGTACCTTGCAGTACAATTTCAGAGAGATCCATACACTTGAACACAAGTTATTGTCTGGAAACTAGGAAAATGTGTTTTTTGGCCCCTTTTTGGCCCCAAATTCCTAAACGTTTAAGGCAATTACCCCCAAACTCAAACCCAGCTATCCCTTTGTGATATGAAACCTTGTAGTACAATTTCAGAAAGATCCATACACTTACACACAAGTTATCGTCCTGAAACTAGAAAAATGCTTGTTTTTTGCCCCTTTTTGGCCCCTATTTCCTAAAATATTGAGGCAATTACCCCCATCATCAATCCCAGCATTCCCTTTGTGGTATGGTATGTTGCAGTACAATTTCAGAGAGATCCATACACTTGAACACAAGTTATTGTCTGGAAACTAGAAAAATGCTTATTTTTGGCCCCTTTTTGGCCCCCAATTCCTAAACGTTTCGACAATTACCCCCAAACTCAATTCCAGCTTTCCCTTTGTGATATGGAACCTTGTAGTACAATTTCAGAAAGATCCATACACTTACACACAAGTTATTGTCATGAAACTAGAAAAATGCTTGTTTTTTGCCCCTTTTTTGGCCCCTAATTCCTAAAATTTTGAGGCAATTACCCCCAAAATCAATCCCAGCATTCCTTTTGTGATATGGAACCTTGTGGTACAATGTCAGAGAGATCCATACACTAACACACAAGTCATGTCTGGAAGTTACAAAAATGCTTATTTTTGGCCCCTTTTTGGCCCCTTATTCCTTTGCTGTTAGTACCATAACCCCCAAAATCAATCCCAACCTTCCTTTTGTGATATTGAACCTTGTGGTAAAATTTCATAGCGATCCGTTCACTTAAACTAAAGTTAGAGTGCGAAAACCAATGTATCTTCGGACGACGCCGGACGACGCCAGACGACGACGACGACGACGACGACGACGACGCCAACGTCATACCAACATACGACCACAAAAATGTTTTTGCGGTCGTATAAAAACTAAAAGAAACGCCGAATATATCTCCGATAGAACTTACGTTGTAATTTTGATGATTTTTTAAAATCGCGGAGTAAGAAATTTACATCGTGTTTTCGAATGCTGGGTTCCTTGTTGTGAACCCCGAAACCAATAACCTTGATAATGAAGAAGACCCGGATGACGACAATCCATTGTTATCGTGCACTGTACGACAATGTTTAGATCGTGATGAAAATTTCATTTGATAAAATTCTGGCTTTTTAATCGGCTATACCAACGTAGGAAATGAACGATGGAAGTAAAACGAAACTCTCGTGTAACAATTTAAACAACGCGAGGATTCTGATGCAAATGAAAACAATGAACTCAAAGTAAAAGTGAAACTGACAAGTCGGAGACTGATACTACCGAGGTCGATTTGACATACGAGGATATGTAAAAAAAGGTTAAAACATTATTTTTTTGAATTCGGGGAAAAATCAATTTCTAAAATTTCTAAAGGCAATGAATACGAAGACTCAAAACAACGATCGTGCGTAGTTACATGTATTACGGTATTCAGTTTACAATTTACAATCAGACAGAACTTTTACATGAAAAATATCTGACGTCACAAGTCATTAATTTCCAGTCAAAACAGAAACCTGAATAAACCGGCTCACTGTCCAAACCGGCCCTTTTTCATAGTCCCATAGACGGCCGGTTTATACAGGTTTTACTGTAGTACAATTTCACAAAGATCCATACACTTACACACAAGTTATTGTCATGAAACTAGAAAAATGCTTGTTTTTTGCCCCTTTTTGGCCCCTAATTCCTAAAATTTGGAGGCAATTATCCCCAAAATCAATCCCAGCATTCCCTTTGTGATATGGAACCTTGTGGTACAATGTCAGAGAGATCCATACACTAACACACAAGTTATGTCTGGAAGTTACAAAAATGCTTATTTTTGGCCCCTAATTCCTTAACTGTTGGTACCATAACCCCCAAATTCAATCCCCACCTTCCTTTTGTGGTATTGAACCTTATGGTAAAATTTCATTGAGATCCATTCACTTAAACTAAAGTTAGAGTGCGAAAACTAATGTGTCTTCGGACAACGATGACGACGACGACACCAACGTCATACCAATATACGACCGCAAAATTTTTTTGGGGTCGTATAAAAATCATCTAAATATGCTATAATGGTAAAGCCTCTTCGTGACATCATGCGGTGAATAGCCTGTGAAAGTCTATGAAAAATACCAGGTGCTAGTTTAGAGCCAAAAGGTAATTTTTTATCAATAAAAATATTGTTGCTTAGGTCAAGCTTAACAGATGGACCAGATGCCTGAGGTTTAGTGTATATGGCTTTTGGCACCCGCCAAAGATAAACTGACTGTAAATGAGGAATATCAGTGCCCCACCTAAAATTGTGCTGTTTTTGGAGTCTGCGGTATTCCCTATCAAAAAACAGCACCGACGCAAATTCACATGATGAAACTAAATGATAAAATCTCATGGTAACGGATGAATAGTCGAGAACCTATGTCCGTGTCAGTTCTCCTGTGCTAAGTAACTTGTACATGATGGACAAATTTGCCCTCGACCACTGACACAGAGACAGGGACTCAAGTTTGGGTCTTAAAGGGCCAGATTTAAAAACAAGTTGCCACCCCCCCTGAAGTATCTGAAATAAGGCGCTCCTCAGACATGCTGGTTCTCCTATATCATACGAAACAAAGTCTGAATTGTCATTGTACACTATTTTACAGTCTATGTTGGCAGATTTTAAATAAATTTGAGGGTCTTGCCAGGATATATGAGAATTGACAGTGTTCATAGGAACTGCATTCAGGTTATAACTAACGCCAATGGGATCAGGTGAATGTTCATGTTGTTTCTGGCTTACTGCTAACTGCTGAAGCATCGCTTGGATATAGCCGTCTTCTTGTTGGTTGCCGCCATCTTGGATTAAGCTATGGGCACCGCCATCTTGGATAAAGCTGTGGGCGCCGCCATCTTTATTTACACCGGAAGCATGTCCGTGTTCGCCATCTTCCTGTGCGCATGTTCTACGTTTCGACGCTGCTATGTCCACTTTCTCGGCACTTATGTCCTTTCGGAAAGTCTTCTCAACCGCCCTTAACAAAAGTTTTCTTTGTTCAATCGGCATATTTGTCTCCGCCAAATCGTCGGCCTCAATTAAAGACACAGCTTCCATGTTTTCAAATCCTAGCTCCAGGATTGTATTTGTGGTATCTTCGCTAAGCTTCATTACGCCGGCCCATGTTCTAACTTTATCAGATTGTTTGTCGGACGAGGCCAAAAATGTGATTTCTTCGTCGTTAGACATATTTATATTCCGCTGAGAATATTATGCATATAAAAAGAATATTATTCTAAACATTGGCCAATTCCCATATAAATGAAATGATAGTTTCTTAGTCCTTTTACACAAATCAGGTAGCAAAATGGACCCTAGCAATTATAGGGGCATTTCTATCACTTCTAACTTGGGAAATCTTTTTAATCGAGTCATTCATTCAAGATTATTGAAATTCGTTAATAACATATCTCTTATCAGTCAAAATCAAATAGGATTTAAACAAAATTGTAGAACTGCTAATCATATATTTTCTTTAAAAAATATTATTGATAAATAAAAGTAAAAAGAAGAAAGTATTTGCTGCTTTCATAGACCTACGTAAAGCCTTTGATACCATATGGAGAGTAGGCTTATTTTATAAACTTTTAAAATCAGGTTTACCAAAAAAATTTTCAATATTTTATCTGCTATGTATGCAAATACTACCACTAGAATTAAATTTTCAAATGGTCTTAGCGCTGCATTTACTTCAGAGCGTGGTGTTAAACAAGGGGGTGTTTTAAACCCCTCACTTTTTAATATAATATTTTTATTGATGATGTCGTAAAAGATTTAATCAATGGTAACTGTGGGCCTGAGTTAGAGTTGGTGATTTGTCTGTAAATTGTTTATTATATGCTTATGATATTGTATTACTATCAGAAAGCAAAACTGGTTTTCAAACCAGTCTCAATATTCTTGGTACATATTGCTCGAATTGGAAACTACATGTTAATGTACAAAAATCAAAGGTAAAACACATTTAAATGAGTTTGTTTATAATGATAATGCCATACAAACAGTCTCAAAATATTGTTACTTGAGAATAATGTTAAAGTGTAATGGCAATTTTAATTTAGCTGTATCCTTACTAATGGAAAAAGCTAGGAAAGCATGTTTTAAGATTAAGAAAACAATTGGATTGGATATTCTTTGTTAACTTTTAGAAAAATTATTTGATTCATGAGTAAGTCCCATCTTGCTGTATTGTAGTGAGGTTTGGGGTGTTTTTGATAGTTCGAGAGACAATTCCATTTTGGAAAAATTCCATATGAAGTTCATAAAAGAAATTCTAGGTGTTCATAGCAAAGCAATTAATGCTGCTTGTAGAGCTGAACTTGGCAGGCTACCATTGTGGTCAAAAATCTCATTTTCTTCTTTTAAATTTTTTGATCATATTTTAAGGTCTGAAAACACACTTGTATCCAAAATTTTTCTGGCAACTGAAAAAAATAACCCCTGGACAAAGAAACTGTATTCTATTTTAAACAATCTAGTATTTTCAAACCTAGCTGGGGGAAAATTTTCTATTAAACAATATCTACCTAGTATTAAACAACGAGTGATTGATCAGTGCACGCAGGATCAATCATCAAAAATTTACAATTCATCCAAACTTAAATTTTATCAACAATTTCATAATTCAAATCAGCGTTGTTCTTATGTTGGTGTTCTAAGTAATATATTAGAAAGGTCATATCTGTGTAAAATAAGATTGAGTGCACACAATCTTGCTATAGAAAAAGGGCGACATTTAGGTTTACCCACACATGAAGGAGTTTGTAATGTATGTAAATCGGGTGAGGTAGAAGATGAAAATCACTTTTTACTGAATTGTGAAAATTTTTCTAAATACAGAATAAACTTTAAAACTATTATATTAAATATACTTCCTACAAGTTGTAGTGAGAGTCAGCTAAATATGAAACGTTGCATTAATAGCAACTCTTTAAAAGTCCTGAAAGTGACAAGTTCTTATATACATAAATGTCTGTTATATAGAAATGAGATTTTAGCTTCTTAATTATAACATATTATTTCATTATGCTGTATTCATTGTTTTAATGTACTGAAATATGGGCCTTTGCCAATTATTGTAATTGTGTTTGTGCCAATAAAATATTTGTATATAAACGCAAAGTAAATACAACCACCCGCCAAACATGGAAAGTTATAATTGTTAATCCCGTCTCACTGACGAGTTGGTAGCATAAAACGCACAGCTTTAATGGTATCAAAAGAGTAGGCAGACATAACACGATGATGCAAAGTCCAGCTATAGTATATACAAATCATAGATTTTCGTCGGACTGTTTTTACTTGTACCGCGCACATGTACGTATTCTTGTAAATCGTTTGTTCTAAACGTTTGCATAATTTTGTGTCCATATCCGATATGAAATTAATTAATCCATTATATGATGTAAATTTACGATCATAATAAAGAAAATATTTTCCCAGAAAAATTAAAATGGCTGCTGCAATCAAGCGTTGCTTCAGGAATAGTTTAGCCTGTGTGCATAAAACAAAAGCCCTGCTAATTAAGCGTTGATTGGTTAATTCAAAATTAGCTATGAATCTTATTGGTTAATTAGTATGATCTCGAAAAACAATTAGTAAACGAGAAGCACATGCGGCAGTGACTGGGAAACCCCATTGCTGATTGGTTTAAAACCTAGACATGCGAGGGTCCCCAAGTAACTACTGACCAGCATTTCAAAACGTATTATGTATTAATACTCTATTGAAATAAAATAGTTCCATGTACAGGAATCGTCAAATCCAAAACTAAAGTTCCTAGACCCATGGTGTCTTAAACAAGGAAACCGTGGACCAATGACCTTGACAAAGGTCATAAGGTAAAAGGTCAAGGGCATGACCTAGATCATGGATTTGATGTTTCTGACCATATTTTCAGGGTTTTACGTGTGTTTAATGCTTTTCAATGCATCTTACATCTATTTAAACACATACTTAGATTACGAAAAGGAAAGACCTCTTAATTGTTCACGAATAATTGACATTTTAATTATTATTATTCTTTTTCAGCCAAACTTTGACGAAGTTAGCAGCCTTAAACGTAAGACATGTCGCTTTCAGGTTCACACTTTGTATCAGGATCACAAATACCTATCCAGAAATCACCATGTGAGTTGCAACATTTTTTTTATCTGGAGTGATCTGCCCGGAACCTAAAAACATTGTTATGGGATGAACACCGTAACCGTAAAAGATAGAAAAAAAAAACGAAGAGTGGAATTTGTTCAGAACCAGGCACTGGTTCTTCGTTATATATGGTTATATTTGGATTGAAAAGATTCAAAGGTTCATTTTGTTGGGTTATGCACCTTTGAAAATTAACCGTTGTCAATTGGCCACTAAATCCAAGAAACCGTAAGTCGTACAGTACTACCTGTGACATTATCTTATTAATGGTGGTAAAATTTAATAACTGTGATTATGACAAGAAAATTCTAAAATAAAATGAAATAATAAATCTAGTTGAACATATAGCTTCCTAATTTTTTTTGTAAAAATTTTCTCATGACTGTTTGTTTTGATGTTATACCTTTTAAAATAATTCTATCAATTTAAGTTATTTTTTACATGTATTTTTTGGCAAATGAATAATAAATGAATATCATCTTCTAATATAATGCAAACTTTCACAATGCCTGCCTTTTTCCATTGAAAAAGTGTTTCTCAAATTAAATTTCTAAAATCAAAATTGTTGATACTTACTGCATTTAACATGGTTTAACAAATGTTTAAGATGATCTTTAGGACTTATTCTAATAAAATTTAGCTATATATATAGGCAATTCATTATTTCTCTATTGAATAAATACATGTATATTCAAAATATTCATTACAGAAAAATTTGATAATATTTTTGTTGTCATATAAAAATATTACAATTTAATCAAGTTTCTGACAAAAAAAAACAAAAACAATCATAATAATGCAAAGAAATAACAATTTTATAAGAAATCAAAACACATGGAAAAAAATTATTAGGTTTTGCTCTAAGTTCTAA